TAAAATCTGTCCAGCTGGTGTCAGCTGGGGCAAGGGCTCAGCCAGGATCATGCTGCAGAACAAGTTGAAGACGAGGGGGATGTATGCATGGGCGGAGTTGTGGAGCAGCATAGAGTTGGGTGGAGTAGCAGGTAGTTAGTAGAGAGTGCATACAAACCAATAGGAATGGAGAAAGGCCAACAATTAACCCGTGAGGATTGCTTTTGGGAAAGAAAATCTTCCACTATGACTTGGGAGTTCGAGTTGCTGAAAGCATGTTCTCCCCCGTGCCTATGAGGGTTTTCTCTGGGTACTCCGGTTTCCTCCCACATTCCAAAAACATGCATGGCAAGTTAATGGAACATTCGAAATTGTCCCTTGGTGTGATTGTGAGTGTGGATGTTTGTTGTTCTGTGTTTGCCCTGCGATTGGCTGGCAACCAGTTCAGGGTAACTCCCGCCTACTGCTCGAAGACAGCTGGGATAGCCTCCACCACCCCCCGCGACCCTTGTGAGGATAAAGCGGATCGGAAAATGGATAGATGGATGAAAATAACTGCCATAACTGGACAGGGGTTTTTTGGTGTTTTTTTTTCAGCTACAGGACTAAATTATGCGTTACGTGCATCATTGGTGGCCACCATCATGAGGAGATGTTTAATGAAGGAAAAAATATTTTTTTTGGGGGGGGCGGGTTGTGAAGGGGTTAGAATATGACTTGGGCCATTATTTTACAAAGATGACAATATTGTCTTTCCAAGCTTACTGGCACCAATGCTTACAATAGTCTCAGCTTGATTTCACCAATATGCCATAGAGCATGCTGCCTCAAGCCTGTCCTCACTTCACATGTCTGTTTCTGGTGCCAAACAGGACAAGCTTCTCTGTGTTTGTTTGTTTTATGTCTTTGCTGCGAGTGTAGGCGGATGTTGCCACCACCAGTGAGCTTCACACAGATGGCAGTTGTGGCTGTATGTGTGTGCGCACTACTTCTCGTGTTCCGATGTATACTTAGGCATTTCGTGTAAGACTCACAGTCTGCTGGCCTTATGTTGCTTCTTTTTTTTTTTTTTTTGTCATTCCCAACCCCCAACACACACATATAGACTGTATTTTTAGATGGATTGTAGCCTTAGAGTGTGAGAAGACAAAAAGAGGTAGATGAGAGAGGTGGGACGAATGGAAGCATAGTTTTATTTGGGCATTCATGACGAGCTTTTTACTTTTTTTTTTTTTTAACACGAGAAACATTTCACCCCCAAATTTTTTGAAATTTCAGAACAGGCACAAGTGTA